TTTTCATTCAAAACACTCCTATAATCAATTAATAGAAAACAAAATTGTATTCCATGTGGGTTAAAGATTACGAAATTATGGATTTTTAAATATGTGGTATAAACGAAGTTATCGAATATGCCTGTTCTTTACCTCATGGGTGATTGTAAAATTTTTCAAAGCTCTTTTCAGCATTGAATATTCTACATTCAAATTATAGACACCAGCATTTTTTACGTCAAGGTTAAATTACCCATTCCATTTTACATTTATTGTGATTTTCTTTTTTACATAGAGACATGACATTATCCTATCATATGTATATTTTATAGTTAATCCTGGAACCATTGTTTAAATTTATGTGCAAATACGATTTAAAAAATAATCTCAGCATGCATAGCATTTTGTATTCTCATATCCATCCACATGTCCACCTACGACAATGTTGCTCAGTCCAAAGTAACAACACAGCAAAGAAATTTATTTAAAATAGTTTTTTTCTTGGATCATTTTTCTTGGTCGTTCGGTCTCTTCTTGCTTTTATATTTGTTGCTGTTGCAGTTTTTCCTGTAAAACAGCATCACCAACACTAATTACCAATCCCTGTGTGCTTCATCAAAGCACCTACCCAGTAAACAATTTTTGCCGAATTCGGTCCGATTTCTGTCAGAATCTCTGAAAAAATGTCCGATTCTGATTCCGAATTCCTTCCGATTTCGGTACGAAAGTTGTATGGACGTGGTCACCGAATTCGGAAAGATTTTCTGAAAAAAATCTGAAAAAATATTAGATTTTCTGGACGAATTCGGTCCGAATTCGGTGAAAATTCTTGAAAAAATAGGAGAAAAAATTAGATTTTCGGAAAAGATTCGGAGGACAACTCCGAATTTCTGAAAGAAATCGGGCAGAATTCGTCTGGAAATTCGGCGGAATATTCAGATTTTCTAAAAGAAATCGGTCAGAATTCGAAAGAAAATTCGGAATAAAATTCAGATTTTCTGAAAAAAAAAAACGCTCAGAATTCGGGAGAAAGTTCCGATTTTCTGAAAGAAATCTTTCAGAATTCGGAAGAAATATCGAAAAAATCGTCACACCACTTAAAAATGAAAAAAAAACACATATTTATTTAAAAAACAAACAATTTATTTCGGGTTTCGTAAAAATGTAGTTTAAATATTACATCTATAATACATTTACATTATAAATATTATTTTTATTAGGAACATAACATACAGTAGCACGTTTCTGTTTCAACTGCTAAACAAGAACTAAAAATAAAAAGCAGTGCACACAGAAAACCGGTATGTAGTTGTTTTTGCAATTTTTTTCCATCATATTTTTTTGGGAACGAAAGAGAAAGAGGCTGATTCACAACAACAACAAAACGCACATTTTTACAACGGAAAATCTAACAGTTCACAATAACAATAACAAATAGCATTTTTGCTTTGCGCTTTGTTGTTGTTGAGATCTTGAAATGAATGATCACAACAACAACTACTATGGGAGAGAATGTGTCAAACCACCACCATCCGTTTACATGTGGGAGAGAATATGCCAGAGCAATAGACAATCTACTCTCTCCGTTTGTACATTTTTCGAGTTTTTTGCGCTTAAAAACACAGGAAAATGTGCAGAAATTCTAAAAAAAAAAACGTTTAGAAAATCGGACCAATTTCTATCAGAAATTTCTGAAAAAAACGTCAGAAATTTCGGAAAAAAATCTAAAATCAGAGCAGTCGGAAAAAATTGTTTACTGGGTACTCATCTTCGTGTGAGTGTGTGTGTGTAGGTGTTCGTATTATAAAACGGAAAACTCGAAATAAAACAGCACCCAACAAATACACAAACTCACACAAGCACAGAGAAGAACTACACCGTCACATACCCATAAATACACATCCAGTATCCAATGGCATGAATAAAGAAAAGTGTAATAAAATTTGATTTATTGTAGACAAGATTCGAGCAGGAAGTACTACTGGAAGTTCGTCTTTTTTTGTTTTAACTCAACTGCAGCTGCTGCTGCTGTTCTTGCTGTCTGTTTCGCTCTGTGCAGCGTAAAGGCGAGTGACGTGGTTGATGAAGAGAAATATGGTGGATTTGTTGGGGGTGCAGTCAGCGTACATTGTAGTTCTGGGAGTGTGTAACATTATTCTAAAATCACCAACCATTTACAAATCATTCTATTTACACACATACAAACGCAACTGCCTGTATTTCATTTCCCAATGACGAACGACGGAGCGTATAAGTAATTGAAGATGATGAAAATTTTATACGTACTAGTGTACGATTTTACATATGTTGGCGATGGCAATTGGAAAATATGGAAAATTATGCACCTATTTCAGCAATTTATTTTTATTTTGGAGTTACAATTTAATTTTAGCTGATATTTAATCGTTTACAACAATTCATGTATTGAGATAATTTGTGGAAATATATCCACTCCACCCTCGAATATTGTGTTTCCGATTCACGTTGCAGCACATAAATATACATTATGTATATTTCATGGTATGCCCTTCAAGGCTGCAAAAAATAAGGTACATATTATGAGTGTATGTATGTACGTATGTGTGTTGGTGTTGCTTTAACTTGCATTATTTTTCCCACCCATATTTATGGGCGCGCCATGCATCATACATTTTATATATCACATCCATCTTGGTGGTCGTTTGTCCACATTACATTCACACATTGTTCCAGAACCCATTGTCCACCCACACAAAACAGTATTCATATCATTTTCAAGGATAACGCTATGAACGTGCAAAGAAAATTCTACAAAACTATTTCCACAACACCATCATAAACCCATCACATATTATGATTTACAGGCAATCCAGAGACATTTTTTCAAAAAGTAAAAAAAAAAAAAAATAGGAAACTTCTTGTTTTGGATAATGCTGGTATTTTACTATATTTAAACTCATTTTCTTATTGATCCTTATTTATTTGGAAATTATGTATACACTAAACAAGTGATAAGCGACTTAAAGTCTGGCAAGGCCAGATTTATGACTCCTCATGCCACTATGCATATTTAGAAGAGCTACCAGCAAGAAATAAACGTTTAAAGTCATAATAAGCAATAACGATCATGCTAATTATTACTTTAGAGCAGTCTTTAATTGGATAAATTCTTAATTCTATTGCGTGCGCAATAACTGTAAAATCGGTTAAAAAATTTTAAAATATATAAGTATGGTACAATTAAATCCAAGGTAGGGCATAGCAATCACCTGAAAACATTTTTTCTTTGGTAGTCTAGCAATTTAAAAATATACCCAACATACCAAAAATACAATACAACTTGAGAATAATATTATAAAAATATATAATTTTCAATAATGCTTGAGAAACACTTACGTTCCACAAACTTATCTCAAATCTGTCCTTTGTTGACAAATTAGTTTTGATTTTTTGTGAATTTGAAAATGAAAATGAAAATTTGTCAGCAAAAAATTGTTTTCTTTGGTGAAAAGCATTGGGACCCATTTCTGGACCGAATTCTTAAGGTATAGATGAATAATAAATCCGGGAATCTGTGATACATATTATTTCAATCCCATTTCAGATTGGAGGCATCAAAAAAGTTGCAGGAATTCAATCGATGTGTAGTCTTAGTGGAAGAGATGCAGAAGCTCAAATAAGGGAGAAGAAAGCGTCAGGGTATCAAGGCCACATGAGGCAGTGATTACTGGGAGGCCCATAAAAACAAAATGTTTAAAATGATTAAAAATTAAACAATTAATATTTTATACTATTACAAAAATAAACTTAATATAATATTATTTTCGTATTTTCTACAATTTCAAGCATAAGCTTATAAATAAGGGTTCCATTTGGATTATTCTTTACTTGCTAAACAAACATTTTTCAATGTTTTCTCAAGCTTAAGGCTTATGTTCATAAGCTTACTGTAATATTACCCAACATACCAAATTGACTTGAGAATAATATTTTAATAAGCTTACAAACATAAGCCTAAAGCTTGAGAAAATCTTGAGAATGTATTGAGAAATGTTTGTTTAACAATTATAGAATAATCGAAAAGGAACCCTTATTCATAAGCTTATTCTTGTAATTGCAGAATAAGCTTACGAAAGTAATATTTTATAAAGCTTATTTTTTCAATGGTAAAAAATATTTATTTATTCATTTTTTAATTATTTTACACATTTCATTCATTGATTGCCATCCCAGCTGTCACTGCATCCTGTTGCCTTGATACCTAGATGCTTTCTTTCCCCTTATTTGAGCTTCTGTATCTCCTCCACTTATTCTTCACTTCTGTTGAATTCCTGCAACTTTTTGACGCCTCCATTCTGAAATGAGATTGAAATAATTTATGCTACAGATTCCCAGATTTATTATTCATCATTACCTTAGAGTTTCGTCCGGAAATGGGTCCTAAATTCGCGTGATTTTGATTTTAACCAAAGAAAATAATTTTTTGTTGACAATTTTCACAAAAAAAATCAAAACAAATTTGTCAACAAAGGACAGATTTGAGAAAAGTTTGTGCAAAAAAGTGTTTCTCAAGCATTGTTGAAAAATTCTTATGATAAACTATTTTCATAATATTATTCTCAAGCTGTATTGTATTTTTGGTATGTTGGGTATTCTCAAACCATTTTGGTATGTTGGGATAGATACAACATTTTATGTGAATGTGTTGTTTTGAATACCCAACATACCAAATTGACTTGAGAATAATATTTTAATAAGCTTACAAACATAAGCCTAAAGCTTGAGAAAATCTTGAGAATGTATTGAGAAATGTTTGTTTAACAATTATAGAATAATCGAAAAGGAACCCTTATTCATAAGCTTATTCTTGTAATTGCTTAATTGAATAAGCTTACGAAAGTAATATTTTATAAAGCTTATTTTTTCAATGGTAAAAAATATTTATTTATTCATTTTTTAATTATTTTACACATTTCATTCATTGATTGCCATCCCAGCTGTCACTGCATCCTGTTGCCTTGATACCTAGATGCTTTCTTTCCCCTTATTTGAGCTTCTGTATCTCCTCCACTTATTCTTCACTTCTGTTGAATTCCTGCAACTTTTTGACGCCTCCATTCTGAAATGAGATTGAAATAATTTATACTACAGATTCCCAGATTTATTATTCATCATTACCTTAGAGTTTCGTCCGGAAATGGGTCCTAAATTCGCATGATTTTGATTTTAACCAAAGAAAATAATTTTTTGTTGACAATTTTCACAAAAAAAAAAATCAAAACAAATTTGTCAACAAAGGACAGATTTGAGAAAAGTTTGTGCAAAAAAGTGTTTCTCAAGCATTGTTGAAAAATTCTTATGATAAACTATTTTCATAATATTATTCTCAAGCTGTATTGTATTTTTGGTATGTTGGGTAATAAACAAAATATTTTTAAAAATCTCCAAATTCTGTTGAAATTTCAATTCTTATATTCAGTTTTTGGAGAGAATGAATGCTTGCGTTTTGGGATGAAAAAGAATTATGATCGTATTAGGATTTCAAAATCCACGATGTTCCTTTTTTGCAATTTTCTCTTTACATAAAATATTGTAAAAAATGTAAGGCAAAGAAAAACAACAATTTGCATTTATTATTAAAATGTTTTTAAGATTCTAGACAGATTGACACACATAGATAAATAGACCCAGCTCGGCGAGATAGGTAGGTACATAAGTAGAATCGAGGGTCTAGAACGAATATTTCGAAGTTTGTGGCATCACCTAACAAATTAGGTTGATATTTCCGCCAACCCCACATACACTTTTATTTAAAATGGAAAATCCAAAACCTGCGCCTGGACATAGCCCGCACGATTATAATCCCCATTGCAGTTATGTGGTTTATGACGCTTTTTCGCTAAAGTGGAGTATGACCGTTTGCTGTGGGGACTTACTAAAATTAATAAATGTTATAAACTTGGGTTCGCGTTAGCCGGTGCCGGACATACCCAGAGGAGGAAGTTATTTGGACATACTCATAGTTATGGGGGTTATGTCCGCTACTTTGTGGGGTTTATGACAGTTTTTTATTTCTTGGACATTCCTTAATGGGGTTTCGGTTATAATTCACAGAAATTTGCGGACATAATTCCTATATTAATGAGCATGCCCAAAACGATTGGGTGTGCGAAAAATTTGAGTTTTCTCCTTTAGTTATGTCCTGAGCCTAAATTTTATAATTTTTGTAAGTAGCCGGCATTTGGCCGGGGCTTGAGATTTCCTCCTCCCACCCATGCAACGGTACATTCGAAATTTGGTATTTTTATGGTTGCCGCTACATTATATATTAAATTCATTTTCAAATTGGGTTTCTGACTACTAAATGGCTATATAAAACACTAGAAGAAAGTGTACAATAGATGATAACGTTACTGAACAGGTAATTTTGCAGTAACTAAATAATCGGTACTTGGAGGATTTTAGAAACAGTTTACACCCGAGTTGTGATTCAGGATTGCTTGTAATGCAAAAATTATTTGGAATAGGTGCATTCGGGCATATCTACTAAGTTTTCGAAAGTAATTTTCAGTTTACAATTTTGCGTAGTAAAAGTCTGCCCAAGTCCATGGTATGCAAATATTTATTTTTTATCCTTGTTGATTCCAATATATCTAAAGATTTTAAAACTATTCGAAAAGTATTTATAAAAACAGATAATTTCACGGAAGTATTGCTTTTTGAAACTCAAAAAGTTTAATGGTGTAAAAAAAGTCACAAAAGTGTACGTTCGTTTTTAAAATTTATTGACTCCACTGCAAGACTTTTCATAAACCACGCCTTATGTCCTGGGCGCTGATAATCACTTAGTCATCTATTCGCATAAATATATACGTATATGATTTGTAATGTCACATCTCTCAGGTATTTATGAAAACTTTGGGGAACATACCCAAGTATGTACTAATTTTATACATATTTACGTATATATGGCATTATATAAATACATCATATGAGCCGTATATGTATGCATGTGTGGGTTCTTTTCTCCTTGTCATAAAACACTGAATGTCGTTTGTAACTTTTATCTGTTTGTCATTTTGCGTTCTAAACAAATGAATTACGACCTGTTTTGTTTTACTTTTATGATGGCGGTGGTAACAATTTATACCACCGCCATTGTTGTTCGTTTTTTGCTGTTGGTTATTTTTAAAATATGTTTAACCCATTTCATTATACCGTTACCCAAGAACCCCGTAGAAAATTAAAATGATTTGTGGTTACAGTGGGGATCAAAATTTTGTATTATGTGAAGAGAGTTAATTTCGTATTTATTACGATGCATTATAATATTTGTTTTCACAATATTGATATTAATTAAACATAAATGTCTTGGGCATTTGAAAAAAATCCCTAGTGAGAAAGTATCGTTAATTTATTTATTGCCATTAATTACCCATTAATATGCTTGTATTTTTGTCAATAAAAGCATTCGTTTTTCCACTACTGTAAATACTATTTTGACATTTTTGTTAATAAATTTGATTACGCCGTCATCGCCTTAAGCAATGTACGACAACGAAACATACAAACATACACACGTGAACGAGTGAACATCAATACGCACAAACATACATACCTATGTGTGTATATACCTATTACCCTATGGAAAAAGAGTTTTCCTTTAGCTTATCAAAAGAGACACAAAAACAATAACAACGTGTTTGTATATGTGTATGTGTACATATGTAACGCAAAAAGCATAATGTGCGATACATGACACATTTGAGAATTTATGTGCTCTGTATCTCATTAAGAGGAATTCAAGTAGCTGGCAGTGGCAAAACAACAAAACCAACATCAAGGCTTCCATGAGGAACAGCAGAGGAAGAAAAACAAGACTGAAAGTCAAATGACAACTCAAGCAAATGGCATCACATATTCACACATATATTCACACACCTACTCATAAAAGAAAACTTAAAATGCTGGCCGGGTGGTGGTTCATATATATCTAACTATATTTATTCATTTAGGAATGTTTTTGTTTTTGTATTTTCACAAAGTTTTACCACCTAAAAAGCTACCGATTTCTAGTTACAAATTCACACATGTAGAAACGTACATATATAAATGAAATGAAATATAAAAATTTTTTAAGAGTCGGAGACTTTCGACGTGCTAGTATTCACACACAGATGAAAGTTGAACACAAACAAGTCAAATGTGTCAAAAAAGTTTTCGAAATTATCTTTGTGGAGAATATGTTCATTCATTAATTAGGGACAGTTATAATTTAAAAACAAAGAGAAATTATATAATTTGATTATCAGCTTTCCAGGTATTTTGATAATATAATTAAAATTCAGTTTCGGGGTTAATAAAATACTTTCCTCCAAAATAACAAGTTAAAAAGTATCTGTCGGATTTGCCGACAGATGTATACCCTCAGCCAATGTACGACTATTTAAAAATATTTTGACTTCTTTTATGATTATTCGAATGTTTAACCCCTTGAGTAAGGAATGTGCCAATATTGGCCATTTCGTATCGGACCAAAATTAAATTGATATAAATATGATATAAATCAAGTTTCTGCCAAAGGGAGCTATATTTAGATATTGCTAGTTACGTAGAATCGCTGGACCGATACATTCCATCTTAACGTCAGATCTTAGGTTTATAAAAGTATTGGGATGTGTGAAATTTTAAGACAATCGGATTCTTATGTCACATTTTATAAGAGTTTTAATTAATCGAGTGGATCGATATTATTCATTTTTACACCTGACCTAGAACTGACGCAGATATTAGGATTTGCAAAGTTGGAACAAAATCACTAGTTGGAACAAAGCACTAATGAATATATTAGGATTTACAAAGTTGGAGCAAAATCGGATTATACTTTCTCTCTCTGTGCAAAAAATATTTTTTGAAAATTTCGACGTTTTGTGGTAGAGGTACCAGAAGGAATAGACCGATATATTCCATTTCCACACCAGACTTTGGGTAAATAAAATTATTGGGATGTGTGAAATTTGAAGACAATCGGACTCTTATGTCACATTTTATAAGAGTTTTAATTATTCAAAATTTTGACCCTTGGTGGGGGAGATACCTGATGGAGTCAACCGATATTGTCCATTTTCGCACCTGACCCAGCACTGATGAAAATATTACGATTCGAAAAGTTGGAGCAAAATTAAATTATCCTTTATCTTTCTGTGCAAAAAAGTATTTTTTGAAAATTTAGACCTAGGCACTTTTTGACCGTATCGAATGATATATACCCTCTGTAGCCATATGGCAGAGGCTATAAAAACATTTTGGGTGTTCAGAGGGAATTTAAGAGTGTTAACCAAAACACGTGTCAGCGGAGTTTATTTTCATAAAAAACGCATAATATCATGTGAATATCATAAACTTACTAGTGTGGGGAAGTTAAATTAAGAACTCATAATTATCTGCCAAATATGTTGCGCGAGATTGCAATATCTATATGTATAAAGAGTGCAAAGAGTGTATAGTAACTCATCAATTGAGAATGGCTGCACCGATTCGACTAAAATTTCCTTTAATTGTTTGTAATTGCAGTAGGAAGGTTTTTATGAAAGAACATTTTAAGAAAACCCCCAGAGAAGTTGCGAAATTGGAAAAATCTAAAGTTTTTTTTAATATGGGCTTTTGGGAAATTGTTCCGGAATGTCTTATCGAATGAAAAAATTTAAATTGGAAAATTCCGATAAAAACGCCAAAATTAGCATGTCGTCGCATGTTGTCAGTTGTTATACTTATGACTAAAAAACACAGGACTGAACAGCTCCAATTTGAAACGGCCCGTTGGTTTAGTTGATAGTAGTTGTGACTTCAATCCTAAAACGAACAAAATATCTATATAGACATTACAACGTGGACCTTCTATTTTCGTATGGCAAAATTTCATCCAATAGGAAACTAAAATGCTATATTGCATCCCATTTTTTTTTGAAATTGGGATTGAGATTAAAAAGTTTTGCTATAGGTATTTGCTTTTTTGTATTTTGAGTTCCCAGTAAAACCTAATTACCAAAATTGTAGTAATGTGATCATCATGTGTCCTACTATAAAAGGGGTATTTTACATTTGTCATTCTTGATCAGAATACAATTTTAGACATATTTAGTCTTAATACATATTCTCAAGATAGGACACGCATATTCATATTAAAAATTGGATAGGTGCGTTATTTAGTATAGCATCCATATGTCGTTATCTTTTGATGTTCGGATTTCCGAAGGTTTCAGCTTCAGTTACCACCCAATTGAAAATTTGGTTAAGACCTCGGAAATAGCTGAAATCAGGGGATAACTTCATAAGAGGTTTATACCAAAACGGCCTATATTAATACATTTTTTTCAAGGAAGGCTTCTTCTTACTAAGAAATAAAACAAAAAAAGGAA